AGAAGCAAGAGACGGGAAGTGTTTTTACTTTACTGACATTGAACTGAAGCCAAAACCTTTTCCAAACCTTTACCAGAGAGATTTTGTTGCCAGCTTTTGTGTAAATTCAACTTTGGAAAACTTTAACGTGCAACTGCAAACCGTCTTGACAGTACTTACCTCAGAGGGATCTGAATGTTTAGTAAGTTCATTGATTAGTTGGTAGAGATCTGCCACAATTTCATTTTAAGCAAAAATACTAGAAAGATTTCTGGTTCCAGCCTCTAAAAATGAGAAATGTAACCAGTTTTCTTGGTCTTCTATGATTGTAAACTGAGTATTTTGGGGTTTTGTACACCTGGTTGGACAAAACGAGCAGTTTCAATATGTCTTTTAACATTTTTATGGCATTTTATAGACTAATTGATCAATTAACTAAGTAAATAAATCGATAATAACCGTTAGTTGCTATCCTGCTATCAACCAATCTTATGTAAACATGCTCTACCAGAGTATAAACTGCCTCACAGAAGAGACTGTTTGCAGTCAGTCCTGAGGCAGTTGGTACAAATACTATAATTTGCTTTATTTTAGTGTTTGAAATAATTTAATAGTCAGAGACTGGAGGTGGATTGTAATTTCCCAAAACCTTACCAGTAGCAACCAGTCAGGTTAACACACATTTTTATCATTTAGGACTCAAAACATCTCTTTAGAGCCACTTCCAACCTGTAATAGTTTGTGTGTGTTTATGTGTGTGTTTGTGTGTTTGTGTGTTTATGTGTGTTTGTGTGGCGATGCACTGGACGCAGCTGTGCAAGCGTCATAACTGATTAGCGGCGTAATCGAGCCGTGTGATTGATATGGATGGAGATATCAGCATCCATGTTCACTACCACAGGTCGCCTGTTCCTGCTCTAATAACATTAGGCTGAGCAGAGCCTTGTCGGAGGTGTTAGTGTGTGTGTGTGTGTGTGTGTGTGTGCGTGTGTGTGTGTTGTGGGTTATTGGAGAGAGACAACTAGGGATCAGAGCTCACCTGTGTGAAGGTGAAATGTGTTGTGTTTCACTGCCCTCACTACAGTTATTCCACAGCAGCAGCTCTGTGTGTGTGTGTGTGTGTGTTATGTACGTGTGTGTGTGTGTGGGTTGTTATGTACATGTGTGTTTCCTCTCCTCTTCTGCAAGGTGCCCCACTGTGTAGAGATGTGACCTGATTTTGAAAAACGAAACAAACACTCTTCTGTCAGATATCATCTGATGCTGTCTACTACTATTTGTGTCTCTGTGTGTGTTTTTTACACCACGCTCTCGTTCCTGGGTGGTTATATTTTTAAATCATTGACTGGTGATCCCCGCTGTTAATGAACAAACGTACCCACAAATACGTGGAAATTGTGAGAAATACTACGGTTTGACCTCATAACATCAGCGTCTTTCCTTTGTTCTCTGGTTTCTGGCTTTGACCTGAGAGTGTTTCATATTCAAGAGCGTGCAGAAACCTCTCAGAGGGTGAACACCTTCGCCATGGCTGAAGATAATGTTCTGAAAAAATTCTTGTTTGTACAAGAAGGAGTCAGATTTGTCGTTTAAAGGTCCAATATGTAACATTTAGGAGGATATAATCTTTATAGCTATGTTTTCATTAGTGTAGAATCACCTGGATATAGGAATCATTGTGTTTTTGTTACCTTAGAATGAGGCTTTTATATCTACAGGCGCTGCAGATCGCCATCAATGGAGTCCGCTGTGTCGAACCACCATGTTTCTATAGTAGC